ATGTGTATAATTGTTTATAATATTTGAACTGAACTTCATCTCTCTTTTTAAAAACTATAGGGTATTTAAAGCAGTTGGTATTTTACTAGGCAGTGGTCTTCTATACTGCTCTAGTCTCTCTGACCCAAGGAGGAGATGCTAGTACTGCTATGGCTCCGTACTGGGGAAGAGGTCAAAAGTTTCAGGAAAATGAGAATATTGTAATGATTTTGTTACTTCAGATAAGCAACCCCAAGGTGCTGAGGAATGTGCACCGATGGTGGGAGTCCCAGTACTATGGAGCAGCTCCATGGTGGCTTCCTCTGTATGCCTGGGTCAGCAGTAGAAGATGCTGCCATGGGACTAGGCTGCCCACGTTCAATAGGATAGTAGGCTTCCGAAATGGCAGACACCAGGTGGGGCAACTCAAACATCGGATGGAAGGTAGAAGTGGTTACTGTAATGCCCGCCACAGCTAGAGTGGCAATCCAGGTGTCATGCCCTGCAGTGGCAACAGTGAATCCAGTGTGTTGTTCTGAGGGGTAAGATAGAGACCAATGAGAGAACTGTGTATATAGCACCAAGACAAAAGTCAAGAGCTGGCAAGTGAACTTCGCATAATTTCATCTTGACCTTTCTCAGGGCCTGGAATGCACGCCTATCCTTGGACACTTACATGAAGCCTCAGTTAGAATGAGGACATTATTATCAGAATGTGAAATGTTGTAGTCTGGATAGAGGGCTGTGCTTTCAGGGACTTCAGAACTTCAAAACTCCACTCGAACTTCATATTCAGAGTTTGTTGGGGGATAGCATAGTGGTGAAGCGGGACTTATTCATCTCCTATTTCTACCTACAAAAATGGTATTTCCATGTGAGTTAACCTAGTAGTTGCTAGACAATGAAGACATTTCTCACCCAAATCCCAATCACTGAATTATCAAGCCCAGTATTTGGGAGAACTCCTCAACAATATCAGATGCTTGCACATGAGGGCTAATCATCTCCCCTGTCCCTAGAAAATGTGCCAGTTTGCTTTAATATATTTCAAATGGGCACATACCCAGTATAGTTATCACGGCTCAATGCTTTTGGACTGGGGAATTTGAAGCTTTCCCTCCTATATTGCAAAGAACTCTTTAGCTGGCCTTCATTGAGCAGGTTCCTTGGTAATGGTGCATCCTATTCCCCCTGTAGCATGTACTATGGCTTCTGGACCACCTTGACTTAGAGACCTCATTGACCACTCCACATTCATCCTTGTGGATACTGTCTACTTTTACATCCTCCACATCTTCCATGATTTACCACCTCCTGGTCACCATTAACTCCATTAGACATTGTTCTTGCTTGGTCAACCAAAAGCATCTAGTAGTCCAACGTAAAGAAGATATGCTACTTAATGTTTACCTTTTGAGGTGTGCCCCAAATTAAAGACTGAAATGGAAGCTGCAAAGAACTCATTAAACATTTACTTACATGAAAGGGGCTAGAGACCAGTAAAACCTTGAACTTAAACACAGAGCCACCTTGATGATGGCCTTTGTGGTTATGAATAACATCATTAAGATGTTTCCAGGAACATTATGGTTTTTCTCTGGAACTTTACCATTTGTCAGAAGACTTTACCATGTCTGCCAGAAGATGCTGGCAGTGAGGAAACCTAGGCAAAGACGAGAAAGGGCTCTTAACATCTAGAAGTTGGCCAAGCAGTGTTGAATTGAGCACACAACCCTGAGCTTTTAATTTCCATAGGTTCCAGCAACCTTGAGATTTGTTCATTAATTAGCATTACTGAGCCTCAGGCCCTGACAAAATAACACACTAATAATTATTTATGAACCTCTGTCTTTAGGCTTGAAATTCTATTATCTCTGTTTCATTTGCTCCTGACTTTTTTAAATGAATAAACTGAAATTTGAACATGGGCATGGTCATTGATCCGTCTCTAAGAACTCTTCGGATACCTCAGAGCAGTTCCTGAGGAAATGCATTATTCCTAGAGCCTAGAATGAGGCAGTGCCTCTCCTGATGGTGTCACAGTGATCTCGAGTCATGAATTTTTTTCTCGGAGACAAGTTCTGTAATTCTTCTGCCTTAACTATAAGTCAGTTGGTTTCTTTTCCCTAGAGAATTGTAAAATATTTTTGCTTTCTATCAATTTTAAATCATGCCCATTCTCCTAGTTTTTATGCCAATTTTTCTGAGGGTTTTGAGAATCAGATCTCAGTAGAACTTTCTACCTCCTATTTCCTTTCAGTGTGTTACATATTTAAATGATTTCAAATAAATTTATAATTTTATTACAATATTGCTTGGTAGCGTAACACTGGATAGAAATAATGTGTCCAAGAACTAAAAATATTCTAACTCAGTAATTCATACTCTAAGCTGCCTGAAATACTGCAGTAATATCAATAAAATGTCAAATTCTCTCTTCTGTTGGGACTTACATTGTAGTTGTGTGAATCTCAGAGTAAAACATGCACATTAATGTTAAATAACGACAACTTTACTACTTGATATAGTATACAGGAGAAAATTTTTATTATTTTATCTGTATATTGCCAACAGTAGAATAATATGAAAGAAAGATCCCTACATTTTAAATAGACATAAATTCACTCGGGTACATCTTTGCTCTCAGAAGCAAAATCAGTTGTTCTGTATTATTTTTTATGTTATCTTGTTCTGATATATTCAGGAATTAGTATTCATTTCTTTCTTCTAAATATAATAAATTTATGAGTGGTCAGAAATTTCTTGTTCATTTCCAAATCTAAGAAAAGTCACAAAAAGAAAAATTTGAACCCTGTGTTTAAGAGCAAATCTAATTTGTGTTTTGATTCTTAGTTTTCAATTAGAGGATGAGAATTTCAAATCTCAAAAGAAAACAACTTCTGAAATTTAGTCCAACATGCACGCCTGGAGAAATGAATGCTATAGCTTTAAGATAAGGTAGTCTGGTGATTCATTGCAGGAAACAAGATCGATTTGGAGCAGGCTCCTACTGTTAGCTTATTTGAAGATGGATTCTCACGCCGAAAATAACACAACATATTCTAGATAACAGCAGTTTTTTCCCCTGAAATCTACCAAAACTGAAGAAAAATCCAAGTGACTGTTCTTAGCAGCTGTGTGGCCTGGAGTTCACTGGGGAAGCTGGCTTCCTGCAGTCCCCTATTCATCACCTGCTTCAAAGACAGCCTGGCTGGCTATAGTTTGCAGGCCAGGTAGGGTGCCATTGTGCACAGTCTGGGAGGATTAGTATCAAAGCTGCGGCAACCAGGCCCTTGGTCTCGGGCTGCCATTCAGTCTAGCAGGGAGAGGCTAAGACTGGCCAAGGTCACAGACTCCAGTGTGGAGTGGACTGGGAAAGGATCCTGAGAATAGAATGCTTTTTATGAAATCATGGCGCAAGCTTGCGGCACAGCAGGTGCCCTTCTGGAACACATAACATCTGTTTATGTTGGTATACCGTAGCTGACAACAAGATAATAGAGCTTTGAAATTTATCATTTTATTTTTAAAAAGACAACTGTATATGCAATGATCCAGATGCGTATTCAGCTCCGATCTTTTATATGAAAATCATAAAGAAAACTGACCGATTTAATTGCTGCTTTTTACATGTATATATTTAAGCTAAAAGCAAAGCGTACTGACTATTAACCATTTATAACCATTACTGATCAGTAATACCCACATTTTTGGGGAAGAAATACCTAGCATTCAACATAAAAATTTTTTTCAATATTCAGGCATTTGTGTCAACAGATTGCAGGACGATTTCCTGAATATGCCCAACCGTCTTGAATATTAGCAGGTTTGGTAAAATCCCCCCCTGCCCAAAATGAGAGTATTTCAAGGGTGAGGTAATAATGACGCAAAAATGCAATTTTCAACTTGGACAAATTAGAGAAAAATTAAGCTGTCCATAAGTTGTCATGACGACAAGGATGTTCTGTTGATGAACTGTCCTCCTCATTGTCCAATCAGATAGTAGAGCTGAGGCTGGAGCATGAACAGGAGAAGACGCACCTATTACAGCAGCATAACGCAGAGAAGGATAGCCTAGTCCGAGACCATGAACGGGAAAATGAAAACCTGGAAAAACAGCTTCGCGCTGCCAATATGGAGCACGAAAATCAAATTCAAGAGTTCAAGAAACGAGAATCACAGGTAATTATCAATAATATTTGATGAAACGGGTATCTGTTTTTAAAAAGTCACCAGCGTTTATGTTTTCTTCTTATTCTTGTTGATGCACGCTGTTTGATCATTTGCAAAACTGACATATAAATGTGGTTTTTTTGCTTTCTCCTACCCCCCCACTCCCTGTTTTGGGGATGAATAAGGCTTTAACTACAGAAACCACAGGTAGCCAGATTAAAAATCCCATGGCGCGCTATAACTTGGCCTCTTTTTTTATAATCTTGTCTTAGTTCCTTTCATGATGGATTTTTTTAAAGGTATCTGCCCCTTACCCCTCCCCTCAGCCTCAGCAAATCCCTATGAAATATCTCAGCCTCACTCCTTGCTTTTTGTTTTAATCTCTGTAGGTAATCAAGCAGCTGTTTTAATATTTGCTTTTCCTTCCTGGTATTGCTTTTTCTCATTAGACTCTGTATTTGATTAGATCTCTCAGATGGTAACTGGTAGAAATGACTCCAGAGCAGGGCTATTTCCCATCAGGTCTGTTGCTTTTTCCTACATGCACTGACACATGCCTCCTAGCCTCCATCTCTGTGGTCCCTGTTGGAAGCCATTTGGCAGAATAACCCCCAGCTGTGGTAGCATTTGACTCTTCAAAGTTATGGATGAAATGTGCACTGTCAGCATGGAAAATTATCTTTATAAATTTCAGATGAAAAAAAATCTAATTGGGTGTGTATCTTTGTAGTACAATACATTCTTTAGGGCATATATAATCAAAGGCCTTTAGTGTATCCTGTTGAGGAGATTGCTGTGAAATTTTATTAAAGAAAGATTGAAGAGCAATTGGTAACAATAAAAAGATAATTTTCTTTTCTAATAAAACCATATAATATACTAGGTCTAAATGCCTCTTTCCCCATTGAAATTGAACCATATTATCCACACCACAATAGGGTCCTTCCTAGTTATCCTTCCTCTCCAAATAATGTAATTTTTAAACAACAAAATATCCTTTACTTATTATTATAGGTGTTTAAACAATTTATAATTTTCTAAACATAAAAATTCTACAGATTAAATAAGATGTTAATTTATTGAGTGGAGGGCGGGAGGCGGTAAGACAAAGAATAGGAGTTATGGGTTATTTTTCATTTCATTTTGAGTTGTCTTTTACTTTTGGAGAATGACTGGGGCAATATAAACATCCTTGGCACAGGTTTGTTTGTCGATAGTACACATTTTTAGAAAAATTATTTTCAGTTTGTCTTATGGAGGTTTGCTAACTAAAAAGTAGTCATTGTAGTAGCCATGATACCAGAAGACTCAGGTGGTTCCTGTTAAGTCAATGTGTGTTTTATTTTTGCCTTCAACCTCATTGGAGCCTTTTGTAAAATATATGCTGATCTTCTAACTGTTAGCCATACAATTGATTAAGTAAGAGTATTTTCAAAGTTATGTTCTTCTTCAATGATGCTAAGCCTTACCATTGTCCTCTATGATAAGTGGTTCTGAGATTACACAGTAGAATTGAATAATTGATAATATACATTAATTATATAACTTCCTACTATTTTGGTGTTTTTGTGGAAAGCTGACACAAGTGGAAGCCAAACTTAGAGGAAATCTTTGTGACTTTGCATATGTCATATCTGTCATATATAGGGTGCGGTTCATCCAATAACAAAAGGGAAGTTTTAAAATTATTATGTGTAATTAAGCCCAGGGAGAGTATAATAAGTTATTAATCGAATTCCTTCTAATTGAAATATTAAGTTTAAGGACCGCATGACCTCTTCAAATGCTTTTTCATGGGATTATATTTCTCATATTTTGTGTCATTCTTGGAACAATTGAAATTGCTGTCACAGAGATGCTAGTAAGCAATGGAAACTTAGGCTAAATGCATTCTTGACCAAAATGAAAATGATTTTTTATATAAGCTATTTTAGTTGTTTTGGAGAGTGTTTTTAAAATAATTTTGTTAGTAAGTTATATTTTGAAACACCTTGTCATGTATACCAAAATGCTAATAATTTGTATTTATTTTTGGTTATTCATTGAGGATATTAATTCAAAATTTCCTTCAAGTAAGTACTAAATTTTCCAAATGTGTCCTTTCGTGAATGTAGTCTAAATTATCTCATGTATAATACCTTTTAAGTCCTGAATTCCATTTACAAATTTCAAAAAACCAAAGTGGGCATGTATTTTTTTCAAAATAGAAGATCTTTTTTCAAATCACTGTTTTGTGGCTTGATGCAGAGCAAAAAACATGAGTCTTAAATATTGGGTTGTATGATTTTTAATTGTAACCCCAGAGAGACATGCGGCGCTCGGTTCACACTTGCCGCTCTTCTGCAGTGGAGGCCATTTTGTAAAAAGGGCTGTTTGAAATATTTAACCAACAGTGGACCGGTGAAATTGTCTATTTTGGAACTTCATAGTTCTGTTTGCTGCTTTTTTTTTTCATTCTTGAATGCAGGCGATATACTGAAAATATACTTTTGGCTTCTTCTAAATATGTAATGTATTGTATGCTAATAAGAATATCATTATTATAAAGCATAGTTACCTACCATAAAGAATCATTTATCAACTAGGAACTGCCTTTTGGTGAATATGCTGTATAACTGTTGCAGGTTGTTGTTATTAAGTAATTTCTGTTTTATAGAGAAGTGAAAAGTATAGTAATCCAACTAAGGACAGTTAACCATTTCCTTCATTTTATTTGGTGCATTTAGCTGATTATTCTGTGCATGTATTTTTTCATAATACCTTTATTTCAGTGGTTGTATATTTTATGTTGTGATGCTGATATTTGCTAAAGGCACATTAAATTTTACCATAGTCATACAAGATGTTAGTCTGGTCATGTGATCTAAGGTCATAATATTTAAGAAAAAACATCCTGATCAGTAGGCATCAAGACATAGAAATTCACAACCTCACTGTCAAATATTTCCCATTTTCCATTTCCCTCTTACTGTAATTAACTTGGAGAATGATTTGATTGGCTCAATCATGTTTTTTAATATAAAGAAAATTTATAGGTTTCATTATGATCATTTTAGGAAAGCTGCTTCTAACATGATGGTTCTATATGTAATTCTTGTTTTGCTTTGAACTGTAATGCGGTGAAAGAATTCCTGCAACTTATTCCTTTGAATTATAAGAAAACCAGCCCATAGGTTTCTTGATCCCTTAATTGTTCTTTTAGGACCCTGAACCACTTAAGAGATGGGTTGATCTTTTATGTTCATTGCCAAAGTGAGTGGTTTGTAAGAATACTGTAGAGACTGTCAGAGAGAACCTTTGTAATCTGCCCCAAAAATGTTGTCACCATCTTAGGAGGGCTGTCTGTGTGACCTGCTGAGGAACAAATTGAGGGGAGAGTTTAACCACAGTGGCCACTATGAACCACACTAGTATAATGCAAATTAGATGCAGCCGACTTGGAGGAAGTTCAGTGTTATCAGGAAATACATTAAAGTTAGAATTTTTATACAGTCAGGCAGTTCTTGACTAACATTGGCATCTTGATACCTTCCTTGATTCCCTTAACTGAGAATCATGATTCTAATATGGACAACTTTTGCATAATAAATGGACAGATCATCTTGATCCTACCATTTTGAGTCATGTAAGAGGGTGTACCTACCATGATTGTAAAATGTGGGTTTTTCAGAAATCCTTTTCTTTCTCTCTGCTACTTAAAAATAAAGTTGCCCAAAAAAGATATTTGTGATAAGACAATTTTAACTTTTAAAATTATATATCAGTATCCTTACTTTATTTTCCATGAATTTGGGAATCTGGGCACATGATAAAAATATCCATTTATAAACTGGGTGTGTGAATGCATGTAGTGGATTAAGTGCTGGCTATCACTCTTCAAAGGTTACGTAAGGATTAATTTAACAATAAGTATGTCCTGAACATTACTATTAAACCTATAAGGTCTTTGGGACTTTTTTGGGTAGCACTTTTCTATTGAAAATATTTTATTTTAATTTCTTTAAAATTAAATAAATTTTAAATTTCAAATTCTGCCAACTACTTTCAAACATGATTTGAGGCAGCAAATATACACACATGTATAGAGGTAAAATATAACTGAAAATAATAATTAACCAATTAATGATATTAATTGCATCAGAAAATCTATACTTTCAAAAAAAACCTGTTAAGTACAAGTTTTTTCAGCTGTGAGCTCACCTAGAAGCCCTAGCAAAGAGGGAAACATGATGAATTGTGTAATTCTGATGGTCTAATGAAAGGAATCCTACCAGTTCATATTTTTTTCTAGCTGTCAATTCTGAAAGGTATTCATGACATGGGACAACGAACGTAAAGCTCACTGAGCAATATAACTGATGATGTTCTCTGTCTGTTAAAACATTTGGAAATAAAATCTGGTGGAAACATCTTTCACAAAATTTAGTTAGCAGGTTTTATTCTAACATGCCATAACTTCATTTTAATTTGTTGAGAATACCATAATTCCCAGCATTAAAAAAAACCCAACTGCTTTGAAAGACCCAATTCTGTACATATTATGGATTAAAATAAAACCTATTTTAAGCCACACATCTAACAGATTCTAGTACGATCACTATATGACTGTTCCTGAAATCCTTACAAAATGTCTTTAAGAAGTAAAAATTAGAAACATGGCTGAGATTAGAAACAGTTTAAAAGGTAATGCCCTAGTGTTCATTTCTAAGTGTGTTACTGTCTTTTTTATATCTGATTCTCTTGTCCTCTGAATTTATACTATGGGAAGGTATAAGAAATAATTAAATTAAATGGTAATTTCATCTAGGAGTCTAGGACATTTCTACCTGGACTAAAATGATTCACATCCTACCCAATATAATCAAGATTGTATTTCATGATTAATATTTATTCACTAATATCATTTACTTGGCTTTGAGGTTTAAATATTTTTATTCTTTGGGTCAAATTGGACTGATCGCCTGGAAAAACCAAACTGGAGACTGTATTTTCCTCCAACATGATGACAC